GCATCCAGTGGATCCAGTGGTCAGCAGCTTCCAGGTATTTTAGCTGTACAAAAACTATCTGGGGAACTATCAGAATTCATTGAATTCATTACATTTAATTCACAAGTTTAGTTTTCAGAGTAAAGGTTCAAAGGTCTGAGAACGAAAACATGAACTTCAGGTGTGTCATTCATGTCAAACTGAAAAAGGGGCAGAGAACAAGAGTGAAACTTTTCACAGCAGGAGATATGACTAGCACATTGGTGTGAAAAACTGAACAAGGGAAACTGGAAGTTGTTCACAATGCCAAGTGGAGCTTCACTAGACACACTTTGTTTCCAAAAAAGATATTAAAGAAGTTGTTTGAAACATTTTAATACTACAGACTAAATGTCGTATGATAAAAAATAAAGAGTTTGGAATCAAAGTGCACACACACAGCAGTGAACACACACACACCATGAACACACACCCGGAGCGGTGGGCAGCCATTTATGGAAGAGGAAGGTGGAAGAGAGCGCTGTACATTCACTCCCCCCACCTACAATTCCTGCCGGACCAGAGACTCGAACTCACAACCTTTGGGTTACGAGTCCGACTCTCTAACCATTGGGCCATGTCAGAGTTTGAGGCATATGCATCCCCCATGCAGATGCCCAGTCTGTTATCAGCCCTGCCCCATATTCTGCAGCATGAGTCTGTGATCATTCCTTTTGTTTATCAGCTGGAAGCAGCAAGCAACACAACTAGAAGTTTGACAGAGGTAGTTCCCGAAGCAGTTAGCTTGACATTCTTGAACTTTTCAACAGGTTGAGCTTGTGCAAGGACGAATGGTGAGACAGGCGTACAACTAGGGCTGCACAATTAATTGAATTTCTAATCGCGATTACAATTATGGATGCCACAATTACGTAATCGTTTAAAGCGGCAATTAATTGTTCAAAGTCCACTTATGTTATTCTGTGTGCTTAATATGTTTTTTTTTCTTTCTACATTTTTTCCATTTTTTTATTTTAGTTTTAGTATAACACTATAATACCATTCATATATTTTTTTATAATTTAAAAAAAAAACCAATCCCGTTGATA